GGTCTCCTATCTCCTATAATAACATATGATGATTAAGAAAGGCTTACGACATTTCAAAAAAGGACTTTAGCTTAGAACCGAGTGAACTTGACAATGAGAAGTGTTGACTCCCCATAGAAGGGAGATTCACCATGTTTTCTCATAAGATGAGGACTCAATTGCTAATGGGCATGTAGAGTCTTTAAGACATATCTCCTAGTTACTTTACTATGTAGCCTCCATAGGAATACTAGCTATTGGATCCACCTAAAATGCTATGTTCATGTTCTCGTTCTACCTTGGCAAGTAGACACCTTCTTTCGGTATAGGGTTTCATGACACCGTATTCCGTGTTTATCTCACATGGTTTATTATCGATTAAGGATATTGTTCCTGAAAGTAAAATGAAAGTAATAAAGTGAACACTCATTAGGGTGACTTAAAGGATTATATTTCGTGTATCTAAGGGTATGGGACTCTACTTAAACATGGAACAAGTTGACCTTGAGGGAATTCCTAGGATTTTTTTCTTATGTACTTATGATACGGATGAAATGTATATGATGACTTTACATGTTGATGATCCTATATGATGTTACTTTCATTGATGAACATGTTATTGGCCGAAATTGATATATCTAATGAAGAACATGCATGATTGAATATATATGGAATGTAGAAATTGCTTATGATCCTTTGTTTGATTTACTTGATTATGTGGGGTTATGGGGCTTCACATAAGCATTGCACTTGTAGGCTTGGGAAGGGATTGTGATTAAGGGTCTTATATTCTATGATTTTATGAACTCTTGTACATAAACTGTTTCTATGACATGATGTGGGAGTTATTATGTTTATATGATCTTAATATGATGCCATTCATGTTGATATGACCTGAAGTTGATAATATCTATGTTGACTTGACTTTATGATGATCTTGGTCTTGTGTTGAATATGGACTTATCTTAAGTGATGTTATGTCTATTGTCTTGTATATGTTCTTAATTGTGCATAAAGGCTTCTAAAAGTGACTTAGCATGGTTTGGAACTGAATTTCCTTTTAAGAATGATTTCAATGATTTCACTTGCATATGTTTCCATACTTAGTACATGTGGTTGTACTAGCCCATATTCTTTCCCTTTTCCCAAACAATGTACGTTAGGGTCATTGAAGTTTAGAAGGACACTTTGCAACAAGGATTAGACTATTTCCCCAAGTATTGGTAGGTCCCCAATATTCAGGGATGTTACCTTTTCACTATTCTAGATATGCAGTTGTTATGTCTAGACGCTATTTCATTCCTCTATATTAAGACTATTGATGTAGGCGTATATGTGGCTCTTCTGTATTGAAGTATGTGTTATGTACAAATGTTGTAAGACTCTTTAGATGATTTAATATGAGATAATTTTTATTGTACTATTTCTTATGTGTACGTTATGTTGTCTAAACGAGAAGCCTATGTAAGATTCACTAAGTGAGGAGTCTACGTAAACTCCATATATGATATGTGAGAGGTGTATGTATACCTCATCATTTAAAAAAATCATTATCCGATTATTTGACCTACGATATGTTATGACAAATGTTAAGCCCTTGTCAAAGTCTTCTCCGAGGACGACGCCACCTGTTACGTCTAGGAGTTGCTACAAGGTCGTGACAAAAAGTTGAGAACAAAAGAAGTTGCACCAGTCAAAGTCCTTATGAGGAATCAATTTGTTGAATAAGCAACTTGGGAAGCTGAGGAGGTTATGAAGAAGAGATATCCAATTCTCTTTGAATCAAAGAGAATGCAAATCGCAGTACTAAATTCTCTTCTTAGCACTTTATATGACTATGTGTAAGCATGTTATTACTTGATTTTGTTTGTTGAGTGCTGAAATGATGTTGTGAACACCTAATTTTTGACCAAAGCATAAATATTGTACACCAATTTTAATAATTAAATATTATTATTTCAAAAGCTTATATAAAAGTAAATTAAGAAATAAATTATAAACTACCACAAGTTATAAGCTCATTTATATTTAAAGTTTAATAATAAAAAATAATAAAAAGAAGTTGTGAATTTAAGGTATTTATTTTAATTCTTCAACTTTTATCTAGCTTTAAAATAGTAATAGTATATATTATGAAAAAGTAGGGGGGGGGGGGGGGGAAGAGTCCTAAAATTTCCAAATTGCTAACCTTTTATCATAATTATCCCCAACTTTCTTAACCTATTTCCTAAATATTCTCATTCCATCTGTTTTATTTTTATTCTTATTTTGATTGTTCTTTCTCTACTTGCATAATCTTTTTTCTAAAAAGTAAATGAATAATTGAAAAATAAAAAATTAACATCACATGTTTTCCAATCTTCTTCTTTATATTTTTTTATCATTATTTTATTTTATTTTTATTTATTACTTGTTGTTTTACTAAAATTATTATTCTCATTTATTTATTTAAATTAATTTCTCCCTTTATCTCAACACTAAAGTTCTCAAATAAATTTCAAATTAAATCCAAGTCCTACTCCACCACTTTCCTTTTAATTAGCTCCATACTCACAACCCAATGCTATTATAAAAACACACGAAGTAGAAAAAAGGAGGACCACAGAAATAGAGACTGAGATACACAAATACATAGATTAAAAAAAAAAAGCAAGAGCAAAAGCAAAGAGAAGAAAAGTGAGGTTTTTCTTTTGAAAATTAAGTTTAGCATTCGAGGTTTCGTTAGTGATTCCATATTCGTGGATCTTAAAATTTAGCTTTCTAAACTTTGGAAATCAATAAATTTGTAGGTCATTCGTCATTGTTTAGTAAAAAATAATTTAAAGGTGCGTTTTTAGCTTAGCCTATTTATATTATTGAAATTTCTTTACATATAAACTATATGTTTGATCCATTTCATAGAATCATCAAAAAATGTATCCCATGAATTTCTGATTTCTTCTTAAACATTTTCATGTTTTTGTTTTTAGATTCATATTTTTTTTATGTAATTTAAGAAGACATAAGTATGTTTCGTTTGTGGTAATAAGATGTTAATTCCACGTACTGATAGCGTGCTCATTATTTAAATTTTTTGTATATTGATTATTAATCTATCTGATAAGGAGATAATAGTTTATTGTAGATTTGTTAAATTAGGATAGATAATAACTTTCATTGATTAGTGATTTAAAAATAAAAGATCACTGTAGATTATTATTTGAAAAACTAATAATAATATTTTGTCTTTAGAATAATCATAAGATGACTATCACTTTCATTCGAATTATTAAGGTATATAATTAAGAGGATATATGCATATTAGTTAGAGATTTATGAAAATAAATAATAAATAATTAGGAAAATTTAAAACAAAATAAAAAAGAGCAAGCATAAAATAGAAGAAATAATAATAATAAATAAATAAATAAAATGAGAAGAAAAATGGAATATAAAATGAATATAATAAAGGTGCAAAGGAAAACGTGGAAAAAGAAGAAACGAAAAATACAATAAAATAAAAAAAATTCTAAAAATAGTCCTAGTATACTTAGAATTTCTTGTTAAAATTAATTATAAGTTTCATAAAATATTATCTCCTAATTTAAGTATAACTAATAAACAAAATTAAAATTATTCAAAATCTAAAAATCTCATTCTACAGAAATCATAATTCCTAACAACTAAATACGCTTATGTATTCTGTTCATAATTAAAAATACAAATCTACATGAAAAAAGCAAACGAAAAGAAAATTCAAATTTTCAAGTTTTAAATTAGTGGACACACACAAAAAAGTAAGATAGTTTCAAATAACTTTAGAACATATTTGAGAATAAATAATATTTTTTATTATTAAGTTAATAATATAATATCCAATAATTAAGTCAATTCATACTAATGTTAATAAAGCGGCCGTTCTAGAACCACGGAAATTGAGGGGTTCCTAAAACCTTCCCCTCTGTCAACAGAATTCCTTACCCAAATTTCTAATTCGCAGACTAATAAAAATAGAGACAAATTTCCTTTTGATTAGAGTATTAGAATAAAAAGGTGACTTGGAACACCAAAACTCAATTCCAAGTGGCGACTTTGAATAATAAAATTATCACTTTTCAAAATTTCACTTTAATTGGAAAAAACTCTTTTCTTTCAAATCAGTACTAAAAAAATTTAGGAAAAAAAGACGTGACAGATGGCTACTCCGCAAGGATAACCAAAATCCGATCTTATTAATTTGGACTTATATATGACTTATACTTATTTATTTAAATTTTTGATATTGTATTTGTAGGATTAATATGTTAATTATTTACTTATTTACTATTTTATATTGTTTGAACTACATGTAAATTGTCTTCTCCCGCGCATCTCTTTGAGTCTTCAATAATAATAATATGGGAATTATGACGGTGCACCCCACTTCTGTCAAGATAGCCAGTGGATCTTCGGTCCATAGAGAAGGACTTTTAATCACACATATTTAGGATAGGGAGCACCCATGCACAAAGATGGAAAGCACTGCAACCAGTGTGTTGCTACTCCTTAACTTGAGTTGCCCGCTCGTTTTAAAGTCAGTCTAGATACTTCTCTCCTCAAGTTTTGGTCACTTCCGGGGACACCACAAGAAGTAATTGTTGACACCCAATTTTGGCCTAACATTTTAAAAATTCGTTATTTTGAAGTTTTATTTATTTAGCTTAAAATAGTTTTTTTAATATAGTTTAAGGAAGTTTATCAATAACTATCTTCATTTATTAAAATTTAGGATTTTTGTTAGTTATTTTTTTAAAAAAATTGCATTTCACATGTCATTATTTGCATTCATTATTTATTTTAAAATTCCATTTTATTTGTTAAATTTGTTAATATTTATGTAAATTTAGCATAATCTAAAATTTAGTCAAATACAAAAAAAATGGGAATTCTATTGCAATAATTTTGGGCCATAATACTAAGCCCATAACTTAGGCCCATAATTTTTTGATGTGGATAATATTTTGTGGCTAGATGATGAAAAAAAAAGGGAGAGAACACCCTAAACTCTATCCACTCTTCTTCTCCCTCTCAAAATCGGAGGCCCTCCTCTCTTCCTCCCTCTTCTCTTCTCCCTTCCCTCTCCCTTTTTTCCTATCCAGCCGCCTCTTCTCTTCTCCCTTCCCCTTCCCTTTCTCCCTTCTCTCACTGCATTTTTCCTCTCCAGCCGTCTCTTCTATTCTCCCTTCCCCCTCCCTTTCTCAATTCTCTCCCTTCATCCTCTCCTCTCTCCTCTCTACAACCGCCCCCTCTTCTTCTCCAGTGGAGGAGTAGCAGCGCAAGAACGCCGCCTCTACTCCCTTTTCTAGTGGACCGCAGCTGCGAGGAGAGCAATAGCAGCCGGACAGCGAGCCTCCATCACTAGCAGCAGCTCCAGCTGGCGACAAGAGTTCGACGACATAGCGGCAACAACTTGGGTGAGTGACCAAGCAGTGTCGCCCTCTCCCTCGCCTTCTCTCTCGATCGAGTATGAATGATACCAACGGCATTCTAGAAAAATCTATTAGCAACGAACTCTAGCAAGGCAGTTAGCCGGGCAACAATTGCGGAACTCCGGTGAGCCTCTTTCATTCTTTGCCTTTATACATATTTGATTCAATATTTTGGTTGCCAAATGATTTTATGTACTGTTAGTTTCGTTTTTATTTCAACATTTTTGGATGGTTCTTTTTTATCTATTTTACTTTTTTTTAGTTCTGTTTATAAGGTTAACTTGATTGTTTTATGCTCCTTTTAGCTGATTTAGTAATTGACATCATATAATTTATTTATCTTATAGTGTGGAGTAATAATTATTAGTTCTTCACTTACATTATTTCATTTTGGTGACTTCTTGGCATTTTTTTTTATATATTTATTGAAGAAGTTTTCATTTTATGTGAATCTCATTTGGTATTAATAATTGAATTGGCATTGTAAACTTGAAATCCATTTATTTATTTCATTATATTATATATGCATTTTGGTTCATTTACTTAGTGTTATCGTGTTTGTCATATTTTTTGTTATATTTTTTATTTATTTGAACTAATATCATGATAATTTTTAATTTTAATTTATTTTTAGAAAAAGAGAACAATAAAAAGTTTCCAACAATCTATGCTAACATTTGTTATCATTATTTAGTTACTATGTTGATGTTTTATTACTCTCGAATGGCTACTGTTGTTTTCAACTTGTTACATATATTTAACATATATATTATCTCTTGTTGGTTCCATGTGGTTTTTTTCTTGAAAAGTATTGTTAAAATGGCCAATGAAAAAACTCTTCGTCGGTTTTGGAGGCCTACTCAATATTAAAAGATGGAAATCTAATTTAAGTTCATATATGTTTATTTGTTAAACTGGCCAATGAAAAATCTATATGTCGGATTTAGAGGCCTTTTCCATTTTAAAAGACGAAATTTTTTAGTTTAAGTTCATATAAATTGTTTGTTAAAATTGTTAGAATGGCTATTGAGAAAACTCTCCGTCGGTTTTGGAGGCATTTCCATTTTAAAAGACGGAAATCTAATTTAAGTTTATATATAATTTTAGTCGTTGGAATTGGCCGATGAAGAAATTACCGTCGATTTCCATGGCCTCCCATGTTAATAAGACGGATTTTTATTTTTTTAGTTATTATTTGAGTTATTCATTTTTATTTATATTTAAATTTACTAACTCTTTTAGTAAGTGTCTTTACAAGTATCCCGAGGTGTCTCTCCTTGAAATTATTCGAATTAAGTTCGAATCATACTTTTATTTCATTATTTTGTAAATATTGACGTTAGGCAAACCTTAGACCGATAATTATTATTTTATTTTATTTTATTGTATATATTGTGTGTTTATTATATTCGTACATTATTTTATTTTCCTCCTCAATTTGAAAAAAATGAATTCAGTCGGGAACCACAATTGTGGATTTCAAAGGGTGCCTTACCCCTTCCCTTCGAAATAACTTGAACTTCTTACCTAGAATAGAATTAGTTTCATAGATTAATAATTGGTTTCCTAGTTTTCCTAAAAATTAGGTGGCGACTCCACTTAATCCCTTTGAACTCCGTTTCCTAATATCCTTTTACTCGTTTTAAAATTCTTGTAACTTAAAGCGAGGAATACCATTTGCATATTTCATCATATTCATATTGTGCATTTTTTTCTTATAATCTTTCAAATTATTTGCAGCACTCATCATCCACAAGATTGGAACTACATTTGACCTGATTTCTACTTCGACAGGATATGTAAGCACCACGACGGCTCGATCATATACCTAGTGTGATTATTACTTCTCCTTACAATAAAAACTAGGACAAAATTTTTGAAAATATTTCAAAAATTCACAATAGAGATAGCCAACAAGTTAATATTGAAGATCATTTTGAGATTTGCCAAAATTCTAACTGGGACAAAATTTTGAGAAAGTGCTGCGAAAAGCTTGATAGAAAATGCAAAGATCATGCATCGCGAGTTAATTTATGCATCACTAGTTAATTCATTTATCGAGAGTCAATTCATGAATCACTAGTTAATATTCATGCATCGCGAGTTAATTCATGCATCATTAGTTAACTCATGCATCGCGAGTTAATATTCATTAACCGCGAAAAGATTTCATACCTCGCAGAAAATTTATGCATCGCAAAAAGATTTCATACCTCATAGAAATGTAGGCATTGCAAGAAGATTGCATACCTTGCAGAATTTATGCATTGCGGGAAGATATTCATGCCCCGCAGAAGATCATGCATCGAGAGTCAATTCAGGCATCACAAGTTAATTCATGCATCACGAGTTAATTCATGCATCACGAGTTAATTCATGCATCGCGAGTCAATACTCATGCATAGCAGAAGATCATGCATCGAGAATCAATTCATGCATCGCATATTAATATTCATGCACCGCAAGTTAAAATTCATGCACCGCGAGAAGATTTCATACCTTGCACAAAATTCATGCATCGCGGGAAGATTTTATGCCTCGCAATGTGGGCATTCAAGAAGATTTCATACCTTGAGGGAAGATATTCATGCTCCACAGAAGATCATGCATCGAGAGTCAGTTCATGCATCACGAGTTAATTCATGCATCGCGAGTCAATACTCATGCATAGCAGAAGATCATGCATCGAGAGTCATCGCAGATTAATATTCATGCATCGTGAGTTAAAATTCATGCATCGCGAGAAGATTTCATACCTCGCAGAAATGTATGCATCGTAAGAAGATTTCATACCTTGTAGAATTTATGCATTGCGGAAAGATATTCATACCTTGCGAATTTATGCATTGCGGGAAGATATTCATGCACCACAGAAGATCATGCAGCGAGAGTCAATTCATGCATCACGAGTTAGTTCATGCATTACGAGTTAATTCATGCATCACGAGTAAATACTCATGCATAGCAGAAGATCATGCATCACTAATTAATATTCATGCATCGCGAGTTAATATTCACGCATTGCTAATTAATATTCATGCATTGCGATTTAATATTTATGAATTACGATTTAATATTCATGCATTTCGATTTAATATTCATGCATCGCAGATTAATATTCATGCATCGCGCGTTAATATTTATTCATCTCGAGAAGATTCCGTCCCTCGCAAAAGTTTACATATCGCAAGAAGATTTCATACCTTGCGGAATTTATGCATCGCGAGAGGATTTCATCCCTCGTAAAATTTTATTCATCGCGACAAGATGCAATTCCTTGCACAAGCTTACATATCGCAAGAAGATTTCATACCTTGCGGAATTTATGCATTGCGAGAAGATTTCATCCCTCGCAAAATTTTATGCATCGCGAGAAGATTCAATTTTTCGCAAACGTTTACACATCGCGAGAAGATTTCATCCCTCGCAAAATTTTATGCATTGCAAGAAGATCCCATCCCTCGCAAAATTCTATACATCGCGAGAAGATTTCATCCCTCGCAAAAATTTGCGCATCCCGGGAAGATATTCATGCCCCGCAAGCAATGATGCACTTCCAGAAAAGGAATCGTGCATCTAAAATGAAATATTTATCCCTCAATGTCAACTGACATTAAATGTCGAGGAGAGAAATTAAGTGTCGACATGGTGAAAGACACTGTCTCCCATTTAAATTGCATTTTTAAGCTGACGAGTTTTTTCTCAATCTATGTCAAGAGCATTCGAAAGGATGAATTCCTTCAAAAAAAACAAAAAAAATACAGGTGCAAACTTTTTCAACAAGGACGTAACACATCATAGATCCTTTTGGAGACAAGTCTGGGATTGATTTCCACCACATGCAACTGCACTTCTCTACAAAGGTCATGTGTTAGGCCAATTTTCGTTGTCCACGATTTCTTTCATCAATCATACACAACGAAAGAGACAACTGTTGACACCCAATTTTGACCTAACATTTTAAAAATTCATGATTTTGAAGTTTTATTTATTTAATATCTTAAAATAGTTTTATTAATATAGTTTAAGGAATTTTATCAATAACTATCTTCATTTATTAAAATTTAGGATTTTTGTTAGTTGTTTTTTTAAAAAAAATTGCATTTCACATGTCATTAGTTACGTTCATTATATTATTTTAAAATTCCATTTTATTTGTTAAATTTGTTAATATTTATGTAAATTTCATACAGTCTAAAATTTAGTTAAATACAAAAAAAAATTTAGAAATTCTATTGCAATAATTTTGGGCCACAATACTAAGCCCATAACTTAGGCCTGTAATTTTTTGGTGTGGATATATTTTGTGGCTAGAGCATGAAAAAAAAAAGGGAGGGAGAACCCTAAACTCTATCCACTCTTCCTCTCCCTCTCAAAATCGGAGGCCCTCCTCTCTTCCTCCCTTTTCTCTTCTCCTTTCCCTCTCCCTTTTCTCCTCTCCAGCCGCCTCTTCTCTTCTCCCTTCCCCCTCCCTTTCTCCCTTCTCTCACCCCTTTTTCCCTCTCAAGCTGCCTCTTCTCTTCTCCCTTCCCCCTCCCTTTCTCCATTCTCTCCCCTCATCCTCTCCTCTATCCTCTCTCCAACCGCCCCCTCTTCTTCTCTGGCAGAGGAGAAGCAGCACGAGAACGCCACCTCTACTCCCTTTTCTGGTGGACAGCAGCTGCGAGGAGAGCAATAGCAGCCGGACAACGAGCCTCCATAACTGGCAGCAGCTCCAACTGGCGACAACAATTCAACAATATAGCGGCAGCAGCTTCGGTCAGTGACCAAGCAGTGTCGCCTCTCCCTCCCCTTCTCTCTTCATCGAGGATGAATGATACCAATGGCATTCTGGAAAAATCTATTAGCAGCGAACTCCGGCGAGGCAGTGAGCCGAGCAACAATTGCGGAACTCCGGTGAGCCTCTTTCATTCATTGCCTTTATACATATTTGAGTCAATATTTTGGTTGCCAAATGATTTTATGTACTGTTAGTTTCGTTTTTATTTCAACATTTTTGGATGGTTCTTTTTTATCTATTTTACTTTTTTTTTAGTTCTATTTATAAGGTTAACTTGATTTTTTTATGCTCCTTTTAGCTTATTTACTGATTGATATTATATAATTTATTTATCTTATAGTGTGGAGTAATAATTATTAGTTCTTCATTTACATTATTTCATTTTGGTGTCTTGTTGACATTTTTATTTATTTATTTATTGAAGTAGTTTTTATTTTATGTGAATTTTATTTGGTATTAATAATTGGATTTGCATTGTTAACTTGAAATTCATTTATTTATTTCATTATATTATATATGCATTTTGGTTCATTTAATTAGTGTTATCGTGTTTGTCATATTTTTAGCTATATTTTTTATTTATTTGAACTAATATCAAGATTATTTTTAATTTTTTTTTAAAAAAAAGAGAACAATAAATGTTTCCAACAATCTATGCTAACATTTGTTATTATTATTTAGTTACTATGTATATGTTTTATTACTATCGAATGGCTACTGGTTTTTTCAACATGTTACATATATTTAACATATATATTATCTCTTGTTTGTTCCATGTGGGTTTGTGTTTGTTCCATGTGGTTTTGTGCTTGAAAAGTATTGTTAAAATGGCCAATGAAAAACTCTCCGTCAGTTTTGGAGGCCTACTCAATATTAGAAGACGGAAATCTAATTTAAGTTCATATATATTTATTTCTTAAATTGGTCAATGAAAAATCTATCCGTCGGGTTTAGAGGACTTTTTCATTTTAAAAGACGGAAATTTTTAGTTTAAGTTCATATAAATTGTTTGTTAAAATTGTTAAAATGGCCAATGAAAACTCTCCGCCAGTTTTGGAGGTCTTTCCATTTTAAAAGACGAAAATCTAATTTAAGTTTATATATAATTTTATTTGTTGGAATTGGCCGATGAAGAAATTACCTTCGATTTCCAAGGCCTCCCATGTTAATAAGACGGATTTTTATTTTTTACTCATTATTTGAGTTATTCATTTTTATTTATATTTATTTGGTACTAACTCTTTTATTAAGTGTCTTTACAGGTATCCGGAGGTGCTTCTCCTTGAAATTATTCGAATGATGTTCGAATCATACATTTATTTCATTATTTTGCTAATATTGATGTTAGTCAAACCTTAGGCCGATAATTATTATTTTATTTTATTTCATTGTGTATATTGTGTGTTTATTATATTCGTACATTATTTTATTTTCCTCCTCAATTTGAAAAAAAAGTGAATTCAGTCGGGAACCTCAATTGTGGATTTCGAAGGGCGCCTAACCCCTTCCTTTCGAAATAACTTGAACCCCTTACCTAGAATCGAATTGGTTTCGTAGATTAATAATTGGTTTCCTAGTTTACCTAAAAATTAGGTGGCGACTCCATTTAATCCCTTTGAACTCTTATCCTTTTACTCGTTTTAAAATTCTTGTAACTTAAAGTTATAATTATTGTGAGTCACCGCGACGTTTCTCCCTATTTTGACAGAATAGGGATGTAAGTAGTAACAGGTGTGTCTTCATCGAAGAGGACGATGACTAGCATCTTACCATTCGTCATTACATTTCATAGGTTAAATTGCAAAAAAATATAAAACTTTTTATTTACTTCTACATTGATGTTTACATAGACCTCTCGCTTACACATAATACACACACACACACATACACACACACACACACAGATATAAATATATATATATATATATATATATATATATATATATATATATATATATATATATATATATATATATATAAGTGGAGTTTATATAGACTCCTCACATACAAAGCATTACATAGGCTTCTACTTTTATTTCACGTGCATAATATAAGAATATAATGCCATAGGAAGTCTAGGATATGCCTCGCTTATAAACCATCTAAGTCGGATACAACATTCCGGCATAGCCCTTTACTTCAATAATAGCCACATATAGGCATATACAACAATTGTCTTCAAATGAAACGGAAAGAACTAAATCGCTATAAAATAAAACAACGT